AACGTAATCCCAGAGTGGGCCCTACAGTAGGCTTCTCCGTTACTAATTCAGAAGGATTTACTTTCACATACTGTTCAAAATTCCTTCAAGCATATTCATACCTGGAAATCAAATAAAACCCTATTTTTTGACTGTGTCACCTTCTAAGAATTATGATGGTAATTGTGCAGCTTTTTGCCCTCAGTTGTATTTCACAAAATTAATGTGAAATCACGGGTTTCTTATACTGAAGTGAAACTTTCAGCAATTATAATGTCAGAATCATTAAGATGCCTGGGTAGGGGTGTTGAGTGTTTGTCTTAGTTCTTCTATGACATAAAAATGTACGTGCGTCATGACCTTGCTTTGTTGCCCTTCAGCTATGGGGTGTGAGCTGTAGTCAGTATTTGTCCATTCATGAGACTTTTAGTTGGGTCTAAGGAAAACTGTTTAATTTACAAGTGCTAAGTACCCTAAATCCTAGCCAGCATTGTTATGTTACAAAATATTTGTTTTCCTCTAGGAGTTTATACAAAGAATAGAAACTTCCGGATGTATAAATCGTCAAAAGCAGGAAAAAATGTGATTCTGAAGATAGCAGAGGATAATAAGTTTATCCCTAGCTGCGAAAAGGATGTTTCCTTGGAAGAAGCATATTTTCTTTCCTCTTTAATCTGCAACATTAGGTAATCATTTAATTCCAGTGGAATTTACAATATTTTTAAATAAGATAATTTAGAAGATAATTCTCCTTCAGCAGTTACAAATAACTACTTTGAATGAGCAGTTATTCCATTAACATTGTTACAGTGTAATTTTGGAGTTCCTAGTAGAATTTCTTGTTTTTGAAGAAAAAACAAGAATGAAATTCCTGAGAGTCTTGGTTTTTGGTTGTTGGTTTGTGTTTTTTTTTTTTTTGAACCTACCTTCAAGTGTTTAAAGAACACAGAACTCGTGGCACAGCTCCTGAGTTGTGCCTCATTTCTCTATACACACTCAAACTGCCAAAACATAACCATTATTAAGTTTGGTTGGATTCTGTATGGCTCTGAAAACAAAAACTACAGATTTCCAGTCAGTTAAATATGAAGAGTCTGAATATTTTCCAAAGTAGGATAAGAAATTAAAAGGATTCCTGTACGTGTTTACTTGCACACCAGATTCCCCATTTGGTACAAACACCCTCCTTACGTTGGGTACTCGTATGTACAATAATTAACTTTTCTGCATCTAATCTAAACCTCTGATATATCATATCCTGCACTCACTGTCTTAAGAAGATCCTAATCATTGCTGCAGCAGAAAGAGGGTTAAAATGGTGTCATATTTTTATTCAAAACATGGATTTGTTCTGATTTCAGGTTTTATATCCTGAAATATTCATTATCCTGAAGTGATGCCAGCAACCCTTTAGCATAAATCATGTAGTGTATTCAGATCATAGGCATCAGCTGAGTCTGTCATAAATATGGCTGAGAAATTCTGCTGTGTTGAATTTAGACTTCTTTGATCACCTGGCTTCCAGCTAGCAACAGGGCAAAAAAAAAAAAGTAGTTTATTTTAGAGAGACAAAAGAAATTGAAACCTTTCAAAGGGTGTATCTATATAAATATGCTGTAGGAGTGTGGACCAGCAGTTGTTAAATGGCAGGTCCTGGGACTTCCACCAGGAACCAAATGTTGCTGCTGAGGAGGAGGAACCCCTGCCCTTGGTGCCAGTCAGGGAACCTGCCAAAGTGAGAAGAGAGAGTGCTCCAGGGATAGGGAACGGTGCACACTGAATCACGGGCTGCCTGAGGTTGGCAGGGACCTCTGGAGGTCTCCTGGACACCCCCTTGTTCCAGCTGGGCCCCCTGGAGCCGGTGGCCCAAGGCTTTGTCATGTTAGGTTGTGCCATACTGTGGTAACTTACATGGTACTGTGTTATGCTGTAAGAATCACACATCTTCCTTTGTGTTCTCTCCTTTCTTCAGAGTGAGCGATGACACCAAAGTTCTGTCGTCTGGCTTTTCAGAGGAGGAGAGAAAAATGTCTGCTTTTTTAAACAGTAAAACAACTAGAAGCAGCCAAGGTACCCCAAACCTTATTTACTGTAGAGAAAAAAAAGAAAAGTTCTCTTTAATTAGATGTGTTGTGACTTGTACACCTGATAACCTCTAGGAGGGCTCTTCTTCAGCTCCCCTTCTGCAGGAGGTAGAGCACATCTGTACTGAAGGATGCTCTGCAGCACCTGAATGCCATTTACCCTCTCCTCTTGGGGGTGGGAGTAGCATTTTAAAAGATCTACAAGAAAGGAACAGTGGATTTATCCCTGGTTTCACAGTTGAGGGTGTGATGTGATTCCTGTGCATTTCCTGTCTATATAATGTGTAATGTGTGATGATTGCATGTTAACAATGGCAAAGCCACTAACAGTCTGTATCTGTGGCCTGTTGTTTTAACAGATTCCATGGAAGGCTATCAGGGTTCACCGTATCCAGAAATTGATAATTTTGTTCATTCTTTGGTTAATAAAGACGGGCTACAAGGAGGTAAAGAGACCACTTGACTATTCACAAATGAGTGTTCTGCATCACTAGTTTTAAACAATTTAAAGAATTTTATTTTTTTTCCCTCAGGGATACGGCAGTGGAATTACTTCTCTCTCAAAGAAATACTTGTATATGATATTTCTGGTTACCGCTGGTGTGAAAATATCGGAAGAGCTCACAAAAGTAACAACATAATGTGTGTTTTTAATTCAGTTTTGAACAGCTTTTTTTATTTTCCTGCTCAACTGTTATTCTCTAAAGCTGAAAAATCCCTTATTGGATAGAATTAGCACCTATTACAATTTCTGTTGTCTTGCTCTATGAGGATACAATGCTTCAGTTAAAAAAAACCCCACCAAACCCAAAAAAACCAGACAAAACTAAACTTTTTCACCCAAGTTTGCTTTGCGATAACTGAGCTTGCATTTCTAATAGCTCTACAAAGTAGGTATTCATGGTATTTAAAATACGTGCCTAAAGATGCTAACATAAAAGTCAGAGTATGTTAAAGCTGTTAAGCAGTACTATGCATTTATACTTTCCAGCTAGGAAGCTGAAAAATCAGAAAAAAAAGAAAGCAGACCACTTTTAAATTAATTTACAGTGCACCTTAAATTACATTTTTATGTTATTAAAATGACAAAGTCATTTTAATAATTGAGAATTACCATCTTAGAAGGATAATTCCTGCTGCCGCTTTAGTTGAGATGAGTTTTGCCAGTGACTCTGCAAGGAGTTGGACTTCCTATAGTTTTAGCAAAATAAATGATGGAAAATCAGGTTTTTTAGATTACATTAGAATTCCAGTATATCATTAGTAGAAATATTTTAACTTAAAAATTATTTTATATAACATTTAAAGTCACTGAAACATAAGGAGTAGGTTTTTGAGAAACAAGGATATTCAAAAAACGTGACAGCCACTGCGCTAGATGGTGTTTCCCAGGCAAGTTGCTTGAAGTTTGGTGTTTCTAAAGCACAGCTGAAAAAGCTGGGTGATCTAATCAGTTGACAGGAAATAGTGATTTTATGTGGCTTTTATAATGAAATTATCTGTAACAGCAGCAGCACCAACAAAATCTTATCTTACAGTTAAATCCCATATGCTAAGCTTATTTTAATGACTGTCTTCCAAGCTTAATGTAATGAAGTTAACTGAATCTCACTTCCAGATGTTAGTCTTGAAAATTTATTTCTTTTAACTTAAGAAGCCTGAAGTTTATCAGAAATTGGACAAAACATGTAAAAAGTATGTCAGAGTATGAAAGCTGTGTCCATAGTTGAGGATAAACAAAACCTATCCATTTAGTGTCAGAGTTTCCTACCGTATGAATTCATTTACTTACTGTTACTGAAAAACCTAAATAATTTCATTCTTAGGATTCTGGTAGATCTGAAGAACGAAGTCTGGTATCAAAAGTGTCACGATCCTGTCTGCAGGGAACAAAACTTCAAATCACAAAGTAGGTAGTCTGTGATCTCAAAGCAGTTATACCTAATGCTTTTTTTGAATGTTGATTTTAATGCCATGTGTTTGATTTAGGTTTTCCATTACCACCTGGGATATGTCTCCCATCTCTTTTCAAAGAGGTATGTTTTTGTCCTGTCAATGCGCTAAGGTTGCTGGAAAAACAGCAAATTTCTACTCTTGCTGAAATGGTCTTCCAGAGGTGAACATGGTTATAAATTAACGTGCTGGAAAATGTTGGCCAGCTTTCTGTAGTATCCGTTATGTGTGACAGTACAAGTTTCAAACTTGCAGGGCAACTAAAGGTATGAAGACCATTTTCACATGGAGTAAGCAGTACTCTTGTTTCTCAAAGGAAGAAGAGTGTACACCAGTGGATGAAAGGGGGAACACAGAAGAAAAGTGGAACCCACATTTTAATGCGTCAGACTTGTCAGAAAGCTCAGTATCTCTGGCAAACAGCTTGTCTCAAGGCTTAGACAGTGAGTGGGAAAATGCAAGCGTTGATGCCTATTTCCTGGAAGCTGCCGAAGATGTGGAGCTCGCTGAAGCTGCAAATGATAGTCTGAATTATGCCATGGAAGAAATCCCAGATGAAGCTCTTTTGGAAGCTTTAAGGAAAGAAGACTCTTGCAATAAAGAAGGCAGCTAACCACTGGCTTGGCCAGCACACAGACTGCCAGCAATGACAGCTGCGTGCTGTGTGCCCCTGGAAAGATACTGCGATGTAGTTAGAAAGCACTGTTCCAGAGGTGCAGGGCAAAGAGCAGAGTAGCTGGATGATCTTGAACAGGGACGAGGAGATCACTGAAGATTACATGAGGTCTGAAAAGTGCTGGAATGAAACACTCATTGTGAATGCTGCTCCAAGCTTAGCACTTCTAATGCTCTCTGCTGTACAGTTTCCTTTTTGCTAGTTGTAGGTCCAAGTTTTATTGATAAGCCAAGTTAAACAGACTTCTTTAGTTCCAGAAATGGGATGAAATTATTTATTTCAAATACAAATTTAATAAAAAGATTTGTCTGTAAATAGATCAGCCAAAGTCTCTGTGTTCTCTTTAAAAGTATATGTTGCTGTCAAGATCGCATTACTTTAATAGCACAAGATGAAAACCCAACATTGTTCACAAGCACAGAAAAGTTTTATTACTTTAAGTGGGATTAATATTTCAGTCATTTCACTGACACTGAGACAATTTGACAATAGAAAGGTAATCTCGATCAAGTCACTGACTTTCAAACATGGAAACAAAATAGAGCAACAATGATTAATCACGCTTTAAGCACTACCATTCTAATGATTGTTTTTAAAAATGTCAGAAAGTCTTAAAAAACACTTAGTCTTTCTTTGATAACCTCTTTCTTTGTAGAGCCAGAGCCTCTTCCAGTTTTGTATTAATATTCTGAAAGTGTCTTTCTGCTCCTAGAATTCTCCGTGACTCCATCAGAAGAGCAGGGAGGCTGGAAGTTCCATACTGTTGATACAGAAATAAAATCACAAGACAACATTTTTAACTCTTGGAAAGATCACTTACATATCTGTAGTTATTTTTCCTCTATCTGGAATGGCGCAACATGGTTTTTAAAAGTGAAGAACAGCCAGAATTAATAAGATTGTCTTCTGAAATGTGAGGCTTTCCCTTACACATGGCAGGCATGTAGCCTTGTCAACAGAAAATACCACACCAGGTCCTGGTAAAATGGGAAGGAGTTCTAAGGCTACATGAGAAGTTACTCTGGCCATGAAATACAAGCACTGTTCTAGGCATTAAATATCTTACAGAACAGACATGGAAGTACCAGAGCTTTCCCTTTCTTTGAACAATAACAACCAAAGAAATTAATTACTTGTTTCCCAGTGTTAAATCTTTCTTCAATTTCTATAAAAAAGTTACAACTGAGGACAATTGTTAGGCTTTTATGTCCTTTGAACTCCTGGACACAGAGAGCAAGGCAGCAGAATCCTCTCTGAAATACTTTAGCTTTTAACATGAGACCAAAAAAATGAGATACTACAGTACAGTTACAGCAGCGATTCTCAAGTTGCTTCCACAAAGACAATTAAAAAATGTTGCTATTTAATATAACTTAAACATGAATAAAAGTGCCCAACAGTCCAGAAAAGAAAAAAAGGAGGGGGCAGGGGGTTTTGACCCAGAACTGTTCAGAAACACATGCAAAATATGTACTTACTACCATTTTTTCTTTTGGGTTTTCTTCTCTATAATCCAAGCAGTCTTGCTGTAGCTCCTTTAAATCAGTAAGTAATTCAATTGTTTGCCTCAAGGAAGATTTCCTTTCCTTTATCTCAGCATATTCTCTTTGTAGTTGTGTCAGTTGTGGTTCAGCTCTGAAAAAGGATCAAGGGCTTTGATGCTTCTATCTGCATGTTTATTGCATGAATAACTACAAACATACTTCCTCTGAACTTGCAAGAATGACTATCTAGGCAACTGATATATATAAAGGAGAGGTCATCACGAGCTTTTGTAAAAACAGAAAACAAGACAGCAGTAATTTCATCAAATAAAGCAAAAAAACAAAGTTATTTTCCATTCTGAGCTACAAAACACAGATTCCTTAAGCTCCTCAGGCTATTACTGTGCATCGTTGGAAACATACCCAAATAGCTCTTCTTGGAGCTGCACCAGTCGCTGCCTTTTCTTTTTGATGCTTGTTAGAGCCTGAAACAAATAGTGAGCAAAGTCTTTGAAACAGTTTCTGTAGTTTCAAAGGCAAACAACTCATGTTTGATTGGCTTTTATTCTCTGGGATTTTATGCTTCTGATTTTCATGGAAGATTCCAAGATACCAGACCCTATAAACTGCCGTATTTTACATTTGTATTTTAAACACTTTAAAGCTGCTTAAAATGTCAAACTTTTATCTCCATTCAAAATTTCTCTTAAGGAACACTGGGTTTACAAGGAAGAGTTTGTGACATTTTGAACACAAACGTGACCAACTCTGGGAGGTCTTTGTTTTAAAAATGAAAACTAATATGAAACTACGTTCAGTACGATTGCCATAACTAAGATTTCCTTAATATAACATCCAATTAAAAACAAACAAAAAAAAGCAACACCCAAAACTGATCCTAAAATTAAATTTAGCAACTAAAAATCTGATTTTAGACAAATGTATATGAGTCAAGCTATGGATAAATGTGAGTGACTGTGAATTCAATATGTGTGTTGAAATTTTCATTTTACATGCTGAGTAGCTTGCCATATCACCTCAAATCAGCAAGATTTAGCATATTAATTGCTACATCCCAGAATAAGCCTCATGTTGACCTTATTTGTTGGAAGGTATTTTGTCCTTGAAAAGTTTGCAGAAGACGTTAATCTGGGCAGAAAGCCAGACAGTGCCTAAGCTTCTCTTAAATCTCTCTGCTCTAGGGCATTCACCTCTCCCTGGTAAAACCACTGCAATGTTTTTCTGCTCTTACACTAGTTCCTCCTGTCAACATCCCCCAGCTGCACTTTCAGTAAATTACGACTCGTTCTGGATGAACAGAGGAACTGCCTTCTTCTGAACAAAAAATCTGCATATATTTAGGGAATGCAGTTCCCATAGACGTCTTTAACCTAAGAAACCCAATTCTACCTTTACAGGTCACCATCTTTGCTGCTCTCCTAGAATTTTATATTCATTTGTGTTTCTTGAAGGTTAGCTCTCCATAATTAAGTAGCTCTCCAGAGGCCTCACAAGTACTCATTAAAAAAAAAACACAACACCTGACTCCAAAAAACCAAAAGAGTAATTTACACGCATAGACATCTACACATCCTAATGTGCATTCTTTCTTTTTACACCCCTATAGCAGTGTATCTATGGAGTTTGCATTCCATTGTATTTACTCAGATCTTTCCCAGAAATACTCTGGTGGTTCCCTATCCCCTATCTGTGCAGTTGATTCTGTAGTACACTACACCTTTTTGTCAATTATTTTATTTCTTCCAGTCAACTTCTTGAAATGTCAATGCCCACTACTGTATGCCATGCAATCTAGTGATATATCTGTATTTACCTTCGCATTTTTTCTCTTCATATTCTTTAATTCCTGGACTCCCGCTATCTACAGAGGAAAAGAAGAATGACAGATTGACTGACTATGGATCTTGAGTTCATCACTATCCTCCTAAAACCATGGCTGCAGGAATTACATTGGAATAACATAAAGAGCTATTTAAAAAACTAACACTGTTTCAAAGTGAGATTACAAGTGTATCACTTGTGTATCCAGTCTTTCCTCTCTGCTCATGCCAGAGAAAGACTGTTGCACAAAATTAGTTAGTGAAAGTAATGCTCCTTGTACCAATCAGTGTAATATTACCTAGCTTTATTTTTCTATAACTTTATATATATGTATAAATCTAGTCTTTTTAAAACGTATTCCTTTTCATGAAACACTTAGAACTATAGTTTTAGTACTTATCCACTGTACTTATCACACCTCCTACAGAGTTCTGAGTTCACTTTAACTCGTTGCAATTAGTGAGAAGAAATCTTAGTCTTCCAAACCAGTAAGCTTGTTACAGAATCCCAGAATGGGTCAGGCTGGAAGGACCACAGTGGGTCATCTGGTCCAACCTCCCTGCTCAAGCAGGGTCATCCCAGAGCACATGGCACAGGACTGTGTCCAGACTCTTCTGGAATTTCATCTTACAGTTATGTTCAAACTGCTCATTAAAAAGGGATGATTTTCCCTGGACTATGTTCGAGGCCTTACTCAGGGCTCTAAACAAGAGTCACTGAGACACAGTGTAAAAATTATATCATTGGTCTTTTAAAACTCTAGTCCATGAGGTTTTAAAACAGTGTTTGACACAGCTGTTATGCTCATTCAAATTATGCAGCCCTCCAGTTTTCCTACATAACGATTTAGATACGACAAACACTTCAGGATTATTGGATGCTTCCCTATTCTCAAAAGCTGACAGTTTTGCAAAGTACCTGCATGACAGCAGTGTTGTGTCTAGAGGCAATTCTAATGAAAGCCTGCACGGGGGCAGCAAATCATAACCTGCACACAACAGACTCTGGTTTTGTGTTATTTATACTGACAATAGATTGGAAAAAATTTACATACTGTAAAATAAGTGCATAATGGACAATATAAAACCACAGGCATTTCTGACCACAAAACTGATTTTGTTTCTGGTGGACTTACAAGATCGGTGATTTGGCCCTTGAAAGCAGAACAGAAGTCATCAATAGCCTTTCTGCAAATGTTTGATTCTATGCTTTGTCTGGAGAAGTCAGAGGGACAAAACACAAGTCACTTAGTTTAGTAAAGGGGAAATCTCATCCAAAAACATTCCTTTAAGTAACGAATAAAACCGAGTGTTAAGCAGCTAGGCAGCTGTAGATCTTTCATATACTAGCAATAGTTTAATTTCTACCTTGAAAAATGTCAGCTGAGATGTTTGAAAAAAAATATCAAATCCCTGGAGACCACGTCAAGATCACATATGAAAAAACATTTGTATCACAGAAACTGAACAATCATTAAAATAACATCAGAATGTAACCATGCAATACTGCATTCCCTAAAGGACAGCCCACTAGCAAAACCACAGGTAATTCTTTTTAAAACTTTGAATATTCAATTATAGCAAAGCAGAATATTTACCTGTAATTTGCTGCTATCTTCTCAACTTCAGCCAGAACAACATCCAGTTCTGTAATATCTCTAGGAGATCTCTTCAGCTCTTTGGGACACCAAACCTGTACAGAATGCGGGCTATCCACTGAAACAACAGAATAAACATAAGTCTTGCACAACTCAGGTACATGTTTTAAAGCAATAGAAAAATTATTGTTCCCATCATCAAAATAACCATCTAAAAGTTATAAATATTTTAATGTTAAATTTGAGAAGAGTGATATATTAATTATTTCATCTGTCTCTGGCTGAGCAACTATGATAGATTTATCCAGAAGCCTTTTAAAACTGGGATGATCAATCATATACAACTTACTCTTTATCATTACAAGCAAGTCCAGAAACACATTAGTAAACTAATTGACAAACTACATACTGTACTGTAGACATAATTTTTTTGTCTTGTAAAAACTGTTAGTCTGAGTCTGGGCAAAGAATCGTGAGTTTTTATATTTGTATTTTATTTATATTTATTTTATTACATTTATTTCATATTTGTATAAATTTTGTATTAATACAAGTCATGGTCCTTCAGCTCAGGGCACTGAGACCTCCTTGGTCCGTCATCCGAGTTGAAGACAGAGGCAAAGAAAGTGTTAAACACCCCTGCCTTGTCTCTGTCCCTGTTTGTGAGGTGACCATCCCCATCCTCTAATGGGTTGATGATATTTCTATACTATCTATTGCCATTAATGTATTTGAAAAAACTCTTTTTATTGTCCCCCACATTTCTGGCAGCTTCAGCTGAGCTTTGGCTGCGTGAATTTTCTCCCTACAGCGGCAAACAGCATCTCTGAATTCTCCCCATGTCACTTGACCTTGGTTCCCCTGGGCATACACCTTCCTATTTTGCCTTACCTCCAAGAGTATGTTGCTAGATACCAGAAATTAAAAGCATGGGAAAACATTCATCTCAAATGAGGAAAAGCTATATGGGAGTTTTGAAAAGTCTGCTTTACCAGAAGGGTCTGACGTGCTCTCCTCTGAAGGTTGCTTCCTTTTCGCCTGGAACTGAGTAGCATTCAGACCCTTCTGTGACACAAAAAGCAGATTAACTTCCAAAATAAACCCTTGTTATTAACTTAAAATTCTGAGAGATGGCAATTAGGCAGAATGCAGGAAAGCATTTCCTGACTGGAAACATCAGTAACGTTTACATGGGCCTGTTTCAGCAGAATCCCAGCACAGTGACCACAACACTGCTGCAGGACAGCAGCTGCCTGACTGCACCGACCAACTGACCACATCTTAAGGAGCACAAGGACCCTCAGTTCAGCACAATCATTGCCCAGTAATAACATTTCTCTGATCAACACTGCCTGCTCACCTTCCTTTTCACCCACATTCTGTCCCAATTCCTTCTCTCAAATACTTCGACTACTTCCTGACACCAACAGCACTTCTGCAAAAGTGCTGCATAACCTCCAGTTTACCGATGAAGGACTAACACTGTACGGAACTTCACAGCATCATTTTCAACAATTCCAATAAATTTCAATATGTAAAAAAAACGTTTATACAAACTACTGCTCAGCCTCCTTTATCACAGGTCTATTTGAGCCTGCAGATGATTAACTTTCTCTATATGTAAGTGGGCCAAGAGCATTTTACACTAATCGTGGAGTAATTGTGGAAAAATAGTCATTCAAAACTGGATGGCTTTTAATTCTAATACATATTCAAAGTTAATTTTATCAGTATTTTTTTCTCTCATAAAGTTGTTTCACTTCAATACTGAAAAAGCACAAAGGATTCATATTCCATCTGGTATGCCATTCTTCAAGCTCATGTATTCTAGATACAAAAAAGATATTTGAAAGAAGGAAAGAACATATTCCCAAATGAAAAAAATAGGCTACAGGATCCAGAACACCTGGCTATTCTGTTATATTCTGTGCTGACATGATGACTGTAGCTTTAAGCATTTCATATGGCTACCTCACAGGAACACTTTGAGGACTCATTATTTTGGACACAATTAAGTACTAAGGCAGTGCTAAGAAACAAATGGAAGGTCTTCCTCTCACCCCACCCTCTAATGCAGGCATGACATGAAGTAAGCTAAAATTAAATTGACTGATGATACTCATGCAGCTTTTTGTGTACCACAGTCTCCTTAAGGGGTCCATCTCCAGCATCAGCTATTTTGGGTATCTGCCCATCACCATCAGATGTCTTGGAGCGACGCTTTTTTTTACTGGGAAAAGGAAAACATACACTGCTATACACTGAGAAAGAATGATCTTCACCATCCACACAACAAAATCTTGTGTTTGGGGGTACATTTTGTACAGCGTTTCCTGTGTAGACTACACTAAAAGTTACAAATGGGCATGTAAAGAGAATGGAATCTTCATCCCTCAACAGCAGCCCTCCCGACTGACACTGGGATAGCCATGGTGTATTGAGCAAAAACTTGGAAACAGAGACAAAATTATTGTTGAGGGTATTTTAGCAGGAATGGAGACAGCTTTGTTGGGGAGGAGTGGGGTTGAGAAATCAAATACTCTCACAACATACTCTCATAGAAGCACTATTACTGTCTTGCTATTTAATTCAAATAAGAACTATTTCAGATCTAAACCAAATTTGATTAAAGAAATTATAAACATACAAGAATTTGAATTAAAATATTTTTAAAATAATTTTCTCAGTTACATATAATTTAACTGGCTTCTACCCACTTTTCAATTTTACCTTTAGACACCACAGAGACATTTTAAAATCCTTTCAGTATAAAAGCAGCAGTAAGTACTTAAATCACTGTACTGCTTACAAAAGGCAGACTCAGATTTATCCTACCATTTGTTTTCTACAACCTCCAACCTCACTCTTTTGGTTTCTGACCTTGGAAGTTAAAGCATCTGTTTAATAAGCAGCCAGGGAAACCTGACAAACAGAATGTTTTTCCCATTTAATCTAAAAATCCAAAGATTAAATTAAATGCTGGCAATTCTTTTTTTTTTTTCAACAGACCTTCTTTCTGTATTTTTCCTTTGCAGTGCTGAAACATGACCAAGTGACTCGTTTTGTGAATGTTCCTCTCCATAAGCATCCACAGCAGTACTGTGCAAAGGGTGATCTACAAAGAACAGAAAACAAACTGCATGAAAACTGCTCCCATCTCTTAGGGCAAGGAGCACTGCTTGCCACTAAGCATTTAGTTAAGAGTATTTCTGGTTTGCTAGCTATTAAAAAGGAAGTTCTTGTTAAAAGTATTATTTGAGGATTAGGAAAAAATACGTAGTGAAAAGTTTTATGTACCCATCCACCTGCTATTTGTTTACAAACTCAAAACAAAGGTGCAGGAAAGCTGGGCAGGTACATATGGCATATAGCAGGCAAAATATTTTGTACAGTGCCTTTAAAGTCTCTCTTTGCTATGGCATACATAAACCTTCTACATATTTAAACAACTACTTTCTAATTTTTGTTAATGTAGATTTTAAGCTGCTTTATTGGATGCTATAAGGAGACAGTTACAGCTGCTACAGAATATTTGTAAACGTAGAATTCTTAAAGGTAGCTACCAAAACAGGTTAGAACTTTAGTAACTTTGGGTTTTAGCATGCCTTCTGTAGTATAAATGTTTATTTTTAAGCACATTGCCACAAAAATTTTGTCTTTGTTTACATTAAAGTCAGTGGGCATCCTTCTTATAATCTAAATACACAGCACAAAAGTGAGGAAGAGTTTTTCTTCTTGATGCCTTGCCCTTATAACAACCCTCTTGCTAAATTTTTTATAGCTCATTTTCAATGCTCTTTCTGGTAGTCACATGTACATTTCTACGATTTTCGTAGAGTAATAACAAGTACAGTTGAGAAATAGCTCTTAGCATTTTCTCTACAACTTCCGATTACACAGTTTTTCAATTATTTATATATATATATAACAATAACAGAGGACTTCACTCAGGAGCACCTACTTCATCTAAATTGATTCTCTGCCTGTATACTGAGGCCTCACTACAGAAGTCCAATATGAAGCATGGAAACGGTTTTAATCCTTCACCAAAAATTGTATGGTTTTATGTCATTTTTTTAAATAACATTTGAAATTGGCACAACAACATCACTGTGAATCTCCAAATTTGCTGCCGTGAATACTCTTACAACAGCAAAAATTCCACTTCATAATTTGTGTATCTTAAGAGAGAATAAAGTAAGATATTGAACTCTGGGTTTTAAATGTAAATTCTTAGATAACTGCAAAATTATAATGTGTGAAACTCTACCCTTCAGACTACAAAACTTGAATAGCCAGTATTTTTCTGTTAACCTTAACTTGCACATATTACAGCATTATTCTTGTTACTTCCTAAATTATAGAAAATAACATAAAAATCTCTCTATCTCTCCTGTCTATTACTTTCCCTGGCAAAGAACCAATAAACTCTTCCTAGGTAAGCACTGAAGTATTTTGCCCTTGTGGTTTGTTTGTGAAAATCATACATTAAATGACATTCAAATTCATACTCACCAAAGGATTCGTCAAGCTCCTCCAGGTCTTTTGTTTCCGCTACCTTCAATATCCTTGAGATATCTGGTTCCTCAAGCAGAATTGATTTCCGTTGAAGATTGGAACTGGCTTTGTGTTCCTGGATGGGTATGAAATTAACAGCCAGTTTATCCTGGTTTTGAGTGTACAACAGATTAAATATGACAATGAATTTCAAGAACATTTGACGAGAAATACATTTAACTGGGACCATATTAACTACTGAGCCATGGCACAAAGTATTGGGAGGATGTTTTTTCCTCAGGATATGGGTTTTTTTCCCCTAAGGGAAGTGATGGTATAAAACATGCACATTGTGCTATTTGATACTGTACTCTAGTGTGAGCTTTGTCTTAGCAAAACCTACCTCTGATTTAGAGCTTGGATGAGTCTTCTTTATTTTCTTCTTCGAGGACATTTCGCTTTTCAGTATATGCTGAGGAGAAAGTCAGTGAAAAATTGTCCCCGACACAGAGCAGCTTTCTCTGTGTCAGTACCTGGGAGAGAACGGGATATCTTTGTTTACTTCAACTTACTACGCTCAGCTCACTTCAAAAGCAGCAAAACTCACTCCATTAGCCTAGAGCGACGTTATTATAAGTTCTCTATACATAGCACGCACCAGTTAGTGAGGAGCCGGGCACATAAGAGAGATAAACCGCGACTGCACCTTCGCTCCGCCGCTGCAGTTCCCCTCACGCAGCAGGCCCCGCCGAGCGCCCCAAGGCGGGCACGGCAGACCCGGCCCGGTCCGCCCGCCAACACCGCCGGCCCTCGGCCCGACCCCTCAGGACGCTCTCCCGCCTCCCGCCGCCGTTCGAACCGGGAGCACCGCCCCCGGGAAGGGAGGGAGGGAGGGAGGAAGGAAGGGAAGGCGCGGGATGGAGCCGCCCCGCCGGAACAGGAACCGGGACAGCGCCGCCACAGCCCAGCTCCCGCCCCGGCCGGGGAGCGGGCCACGCCCTTCATTCCGTGTTTCAAAGAATTCACACAACCCTCACTCTGCTCTTACTTAGTCTAACTAAAAACAAACAAACAAACAAACAAAAACCCCACAAAAAACCCAAACAAACAAACAAAAAAGCAGCCCGCCCCGCTTCCCTGAACTGATCCTGTACATCGGGGAAAAAAAAGTGAACGAGGTTACTTCTGTTAAAGATAACCTGAAATCTAAGATCAATAACTTGCAGCACTTATAATAAGGTATTAATCTAAACCACACAAAAATAGTACTTGCTAGAGTAGCGTGCAAAAAAAAAAAAAAAAAAAAAAAGTAGGCTTTACCTTGAACACTTAATTCTGTCTCTGCATTTAAATTACCAATTAAATTGCTAACAGGAGTTTTAGCAATTCATCGAAAGTCTCACTAGTTGAGAGGGGCCCTTTTGATGTCACATCTCTTCATCCACAAATCAGTGTTCTCCCAAAGATCAGCTGCTGCTCACATTAATATGCCCAGCTACCCATTGTTATCTAACCCAATAAGCTAAAACAAAGTGAAATAATCACTTCAGGATTAACAGTTGGCAAGGTCTCTTTAGACTTCTAAGTTGCTGGCTATAGCATCTGCCTCATTCAGCAGTCCCTGAAGCAAAGCTAATAACAGCACAGCACAGCTTTGTTTCAGTAGTGATAGGTGGCTCTTGGAGGAAGGTTTCTTTGATTGGATGTGTTATGAACTTAAACCTTAGATCCAGCTGTCATCCATCTCTCAGCTATCTCCATTAGGAGAGGTGTGGTGACACTTCACTCTGTTTTTCCAAGCAGCATATTCAATAACATACTTGAATAAGTTATGTGAATAAGTGACAAAAATTTGGTTTAGATTTCCTTCAGTATGGAAGAAATGTATAAAGGAACATACAAGATCATTTAGAGGAGAAAGTGGCTAGGAACAGAAGTGTGCTTAGTATCTCACAATGACATGTGTATGCACATGGAGCTCTAAGGAGTGCCCTAGTGCATCATGATGCTTCATCTACCCTGGTGTGGTAACTCTGCCCATAAAAATCTTTCATAGCATAGCCAGATGCACAGTGTAAAGGCAGGAATAAGGAAAACCACTACCACCCATGAGCTACATAAGACTTTAAGAAAACTCTAGCTTTCATTCAAGTCATTTATGATGATTGTAAGAACACAATTGCCAGAAACTATACTGAAAACGGACAAAAAAATTTGAAGATTTGTTTGTTTAGGAATATACTGAAAGAGCAAGTTGCATACAACAGCATCCCTTTCTTACAAATATTGGCCAAAAGCTTTAATGTAAGAAGTTACTTTCCAAAAGTGTAAACAACAGGCCTTTATACTGTATTTAGCATGTTTATATAGCAGTGATGTTTTACAGCATGTCAGTTAGCAAATTACACCTGGGCTTGTTAGTCAGCAGCATTTTTCTTTGATAAACAAACATGTCAAGGAGTTGAAATGCAGAAATATTTATTTTGGTTTCCTTCATTGGTTTTGAAAATTGTTTTGGTTTTATAAAACATAGAAATAGCCAACACTAAGCAAACATTTGAATTCCAATGTAACAAACTACTGCTCTAACAGTTGACTTGGATTTGTGTACCTTAATTGCACACACGTATGAAATTATGCTACAGAGTAGTGCATTACAATCACACACAAATCTTAGTGCAAACCTTGTTGTGCTTGTATTTTACATATATCCATGTTTTCAAAAAACAGCAATGAATGCTAATGCAAAACCAATTCTGTTAAGGATAGCAAAAGACTTATGCTGTTATAAGGCTTATCTCTGCTGATTTCTCAAACAAAAGGTAACTACTTATTTTGCAATTTACCTGGGAATTAGGTTTTTATCCCTGAACAAATACCTATCCTGGACCAACACACAGTTCTGTTGGCACATATAAATACTTCCAATTGCTGCAAAGCATCAGGCAAAAAACATTCTACCTGACCTATTTCGCTATTCAGTGAAGAATACTCAGTGGCTCATACATAAAGCATGGAAAACAGAGGTTATGTCAGAAGCTCTTCCACTTAAGAGGACCCAGCACTTTTTTTAAAAATGCATTTTAAATACAAGGTCATTACAGGGAAACAAGTGGCTAGTACAGGTGCAGTGTTTACCCTGACTGTTAGCATAGCCCAGCCTCTGAATGGTTTGGATTTTAAGTCTCTAGTGTTCTTGCCAGAGTTAGGATCAGCTCATTTGCAGGGCTGGCACCACTCCAGAATCGTGATAATGTAGCAGAGGCTACACTTGCTGATTTAACCCCATCCACACTTTCAGTACAGAACCACATCTGTAGGCTTACCCTGAAGAACTTCTATTCATCAGTCTCCTTTGTGGGGAGTGCTGACTTCTACCTTATGAAAGTACATCTCGGAACTGGCTGCAGATATAGAAGGGAGATACAACTCAGATGCCTTGCCCCAGTTAATACTAGGACTAATGAAAGATGTGATGCCAGCTATACAACTGTAAGGGCTTGGGGTTTTTTGATGGTTGGGTGGTGGGGTTTTTTTTGAACAGACTTAAGTCATTTTTCTGAAGATGCGAGATACTTAGAGGCATTTTCATAGCTGCCAAACCCTTTGTGGGATTGACAACTGCAAAACACACTGCAGACAGCAAACATGCTGGCAATAAAACCTTAGCTCCTTGGTGAAGGCAAGTCCCATTTTTGGCCAAGGAAATCTTAAATAACTTATATATAGTTACCATTTATAGTTAAGGCTCTTTTTGGAAATTGTAGGTCACCATAAAAACAGTATGCAACACAACTTGACAGTAAGGCAGTGTTCCATTTCTTCAATGTTCCTATGGCAAGTACCCATTTTTGCACAAGTTAATGATTGCACAGTTTCCTTCCCTATGTTTGCTGTAGTCAAAATACAGATATGAAGACCAACAGTAGACATCAGATGTGTGCCACTTTGCTCATTCCATTTGCAGTTACATTTTGGCGTTAGCATAGAGTTCATTTATCTGTGACTGGAAGTATTTTCGCAGTTCTGGTCTCTTCGCCTTCAGTGTTGGTGTCAACAGGCCATTTTCAATAGAAAACATTTCAGTGTGCAGGACAATGTCTTTCACCTGGAAAATAAAAAGTTACTAGTCAGCCTGCATTTCTTGAAATAGACAAGGCTTTTAAAAACTTGCCTAGATATCACAAAGCCCATCACTTTAAAAGTTTTCCAGATGCAAATTAAAAGCAATATCTGGAGAATCGGATTATATTGGTATTGAGAAGTTTAAAGAATTAGGTGTTTGGTTCTCTCAAGTGTCTTACCTGTTCAAATGACTTCAAACCAGCTTCTTTCCCAACTCTCAGCATGTCTTCCAGAATGTATTTTTTGACGTCCTGTGGATACAGGAATACGTGGTATAGCTTCATGCTTGTATAAACATCAACTTGAAAAAGTTTATGTGGAACAGCTGTTTAGTTGGATATGTCTCACCTTGTTTTTGCATAGCTCTTGATAGGAGCCTTCAATTCCCTTTTTCTTGGCCCAGTTGTGCAGAGTATCAGGATCAGGTACCACAATAGCTACTAAGAAGGCCTAAAAAGGAAGATTTTCAAGCTTTTTTCTTTATGCCAACACTTAATTTCCTACACATTTCTTACTAGTCAGTTAGGTTTTGGAGAGAATTTCTGATCCTGCTGTACAGTCAGCAGCTCTCTGCTACCTGAACAGAGGACTGCAGTTCAGAAGCTTGCACTTGAGAGAATTAGTCTTAAGAACCACACATCTATTTACACTTGAAAGAACCTGGATATCTTGAGGGTCTTCTTGGTGTGGGGGGTATGTGGGGGGGTTTTGTATTTTTTGTTGGGTGTCATCCCCCCTCCCCACCCCCGCATACTGTTAGCAATTTATATACAGTCATTCATACCCAATTAAACTACTTCAGCTCCCCTACCTGGTCTGAAACTAAATACAAAAGCATGCTATATAACTGCTGGAGTCCATTCAGAATCAAAATGTATAACAATAAAAAGTTAAGATAAAAATTTAAGATTTCAGTCCCAAAGCTTGGGGGGGGGGGGGGGAAGAAAAACTTTTCTGCAATCTCCTTTTGCAGTAATTTTTTAAGTTACCTGAAAAATGCTTACCTGCAAACTCTCTCCATGAACAAACACCTGTGCAAGTGCTTCGCATCTCAGATACACATTCTCTATTTTCTCTGGTGCTATGTACTCTCCCTGGGCTAGTTTAAATATGTGTTTTTTCCGGTCAATGATTTTCAACGTACCATTCTGTTGACAGAAATAACTTTCACTCAGAAGAGGCACTTCAGGTGAAAAACCAATCTACACAGCTTAAGCATGCTTAGTAAAACTGTGCTAGAGCCAGAATACTGTCAAACTAATGGTAGAAGGGAACAGGTTACACATCCATCTAACCTAAACTAGGGAAAGCCTTAGAACTGATATTGGCAATACTTTAGCCCCAGGCATACAGATTTAGCTACAACAGTAACTATCCTCCTCCCCAAATTACTCGTGTTTCACCTAATTCCCTCTGTTCAATACCATATGTTCTCTATTTTATTTGTTAAATTACTGCTAATAGCTATAGAAGTACCATTTCAGCTATGTAAGTGAACTTACTGGTAGCCATTTCCCAATATCTCCTGTATGAAGCCAGCCATCTTTGTCCAGAGCTTCTGCTGTTTTTTCTGGATCTTTCAAATAGCCACGGAACACAATTGGCCCTTTTACACACACCTGAAAATAGCATTTTGTTAATGTATGAAGGAAAGTTAAAAATCACTATTTGCAACAAATG